AGCGGTGTGGCCGCGGCGGGAAGGCGGCGGGACCGGGATTGTCTCAGAGCTGCCGTTCCACCAGCTGTACCCACCACTGGAGAAACCGCCAGCGATGAGCTGGGGGGGTGGTATTTACAGCCTAGAGATCCCGGGTGTGCTTTGCGCCATTTTGCACTGTATTTTAACACACATTCAAACTGCAGCGTTTCTACCTTTTCTTTTTCATTTTACCAGAAATAACCCCTGCTGCTTTGACTCTTTGCATTTGACCAGCAAGCCAGGTTTTTTCTGCTGCCTCTCCTTGGATGTGGCGTTGCACCTCACTTTTGCACAGACTCCAGCAGTTTTTACACAGTTTATTGGCAGACATTTATTCACTCTTTACCACCCCACCTGGCAGCTGGGACATGGGCTGGGTGCCTCTGTCCCAGTTCTCTCTCTTTGCTCTGAGGGCTCAGTCACCCCATGAGGGGGTGAGGGAGCCTTTTCACTGGCTTTTCAGGAGATATACAGCACTATTCAGGGCAGAACATGCAATTGTTCCCCAGGCTCGGCGAGGGGAGATATCCTTTTGGCTCTGGCTGCCCTCTGAATGAGGGGGTGAGTGTTAGCAGAAAGAGCATGGATTGCTATAAAAAAAGATATGGCTCTGCTGTATAGGGGAAAAAAAACCTTCCCAATCACACCAGCCCAGCGGGGAAAAGCACAAAGAGGCGCTGGGTGCTGACCCCGGACAGGGATCACAGGGATCTTCTCTCTAATACCCACAGGACAAGATCCCCTCTAGCAGGTGTCCCCATAAAACACGGGCAGGCAATCATGGCCAGGCAATGTCACACGCAGAAAACACAGCACTCTGGCTGTGCATCGCTCCTCGCAGCAGCCGGAGCCCAGGCACAGCTGTTTGCAGCACGATAAGGTGGGTTATGAAACACGCTGAAGTTGTTGAACAAAAGAGGCCCTTCGGGCTGTTTCAGCTCCTTTCCAGAGCCCAGAGTGGTTTGACAAGGGGAAGATGGATGGGAACATGCCGGTCCCTTTGCGCGGCAGGAGCCTTGCCTCAGTGCAGCACGAGACGGCGGGAGGCTGTGACTGTCTCTACTGATAAAACCAGCTCCCTGCTCCAGGCTGGACGTTGTTTATGAGGATGCAGAGCCCCGTAACTGCTCCAGTGTGTGACAAACCCAGCCATCCCCACCTATGCTGCCAGAGGGAGAAGACGGTAGCTTCCTTGTGGTGGTAGCCTTTCTTTCTGGAAAATGGATGCAGGACAGGGGTAGACTCTGCACTCCTGCAAATGCAAATGCCTTCTTTTCCATAATTCACATTCAAATTTCTATCATTTCACTTCCCAGGGCCCAAACCCCTGTAATCTTCCTCCACACCTTGTTTCTCCCCCCGTGTGTGTGGCACAGCGGGCCTGGGCCTGGCTACCCCAGCAGCTCGGCATGGGGGAAGCTGGGTGGCTTTGGACTCTCCTCGGGACTCCTGGGGCGGCCGAGCAGCGAGCTGCTGCCGTGGTGTGAGCAAAGAAATGAGCATCCTCCACCGTGGCACAGGAGAGACGGGATTCTGGCATGGGTGACGCCAGCGCTGTCCTCGGCCACCCAGAAGGGACAAGGGGCAGGCAGGAGCCTCCAGTGCCGGCAGCGTGGGGTGAAAGGCAACAGCCCCTTGTTCCAGTGATCCACCCGTCAGGGATTTAAGGAAGGAAACCAGATTGCTGCTTACGACTTTGCTTTGAGCATGTTTCGGATTTTAAGAGTATGTTTAATAAAGGGTATCTTATGTCCACAAAGTGTCCAGAGTCGTTTCGTGGTTACAAGGCGAGGGCAGTCGGGGTCTTGGGGGCTCGGTGGGTGGAAAACCTTTTTGGCTGGGAGCATCCATCCACCCGTCACCCAGGCACCTCCCCAAAACGAGCCCGGCCGCTTCAAATCTCCTAAAACACTTCCCAAGGTCCCTTCCAACCTACATTACCCAGCCAACCTAAATCCTGCCTCCTGCGAGCCCTGCCGGGAGGGAGAAGGTGCAAATGCAAACAAAACCTCTGCAGGAAGAGTCTGGCCTGGGGTAGTGGCATCTTCCCGGCATGGGGTGCAGGTGGCCGGGCAGATGACAGGCTCCGTGGCTCCTGGCACTGCTGAGATGGAGGAGGACACCCAGAGAGGACTTTTCCTGGAGGAGAGGAGGAGCACTAAGGAGCTGGGTGCTCGTGCAGGAGAAATCCCTCCGGTGTTGGGGAAGAAAACTCGTGCTGGGAGCTGATGCCTTGAAGGGCCCCCCCCCCCCCCCCCCCAAACGGGCGGCCCCCCCCGCCCCGCCACTCCCAAACTGGCCGTTACGGAGGGCAGTGCGCATGCGCCTGTCCTCTCTGGGACAACGGCGCATGCGCCTCACGGCCGGTGCCTTTCCGGCCCCCGCTTAAACAGCGGCCACTCTCTAGATGGCGGACGGCCTTGCTGCGCACGCTCAGTGTGTCTTGCCGCTCCCAAGATGGCGCCGCGGCAGTGACGGGGGGCGGGAGAGGGTGTGTGTGCCGTGGGACTGAGCGGCGGAGCGCGGCCCCGGCGCCCCGCGGCAGGATGATCCCCACCGAGGAGGTGTCGGCCCGCAGGAGAGAGATCGAGGACAAGCTCAAGCAGGTGGGACTGAGCTAGGGACCTGCTGCGGACCCTGCCGGGACCTGGGCCCGGGCCCGGGCCCGGGCCCGCGCCCCCAGCCCCAGCGCGTTGCCTAGGAGACGGGGCCGGGAGCTGGCCTGGAGG